GCAACTATAAATGGGATTGTTTTCTTAATTTCTCTTTATGCTAGTTGATTATTAATGTATAGAAATGCAACAGATTTATGTATATTGACTTTGTATCCTGTGACCTTATGGAATTCATTTATGTTTTAGTAGTTTTTTTGGTGGAATCTTAAGGGTTTTGTATACATAATATCATGTCATCTGCACAGAGTGAAATATTTACTTTTTCTTTACCAATTTTGATGACTTTTATTCCTTTTTCTTATCTGATTGCTGTGGGTAACACTTCCAGTACTATGTTGAATAAAAGTGGTGAGAGTGGACATCCATATCTTAGGTAAAGGGATCTCATTTTTTCACCATTGAGGATGATGTTAGCTGTGGGTTTTTCATAGATGGACTTTATTATATTGAGGTATGTTCCCTCTAAACCTACTTTGTTAAGGGCTCTTATCATGAATAGATGTTGTAATTTGTCAAATGCTTTTTCTACATCTATTGAAATTATCATATGCTTTTTATCCTTTCTCTTGTTGACGTGTTCTATCGTGTTGATTTGATTTGCAAATATTGAATCACCTTTGCATCCCAAGAATAAATCCCACTTGATCGTAGTAAATGATTTTTTAATGTATTTTTGGATTCAGTTTGCTAATGTTTTGTTGAAGATTTTTGCATCCTTGTTTATCAGCGTTATTGGCCTTGTAGTCCTCTTTTTTGTAGTGCCCTTATCTGATTTTGGTATCAGAGTGATGCTGGCTTCATAGAATGAATTTAGAAGATTTCTTTCATCCTCTATTTTCTGGAGTTGTTTGAGAAGAATACGTATTAAATCTTTAAATGTTTGTTAGAATTCATCTGTGAAGCCATCTGGTTTTGGACTTCTGTTTGTTGGGAAGTTTTGTTTTTTTTGTTTGTTTGTTTGTTTGTTTTACTGATTCAATGTCATTGCTGCTAATTGGTCTGTTCACATTTTCTATTTCTTAAATTATACATATGAGTGAAATCATATGGTATTTGTCTTTCTCTGGCTGACTTATTTCACTCAACATAATATACTCTAGCTCTATCCACGTCATTGCAAATGGTGAGATTTCATTCTTTTTGATGGCTGAGTAATATTCCATTGCATATATACACCACATTTCTTTATCCATTCATCAGTTGGTGGGCATTTGTGCTCTCTTCATAGTTTGCCTATTGTTAATAATGCTGCTACAAACATCGGGGTTCAGGTACCCCCTGGAGTCTGTATTTTTGTATCATTTGAGTAAGTACCTGTTAGTGCAATTGCTGAATCATATAGCAGTTCTATTTTTAACTTTTTGAGGAACCTCCATACTGTTCTCCAGAGTGGCTGCACCAGTTTTCATTCTCACTCATAGTGCAAGATGGTTCCCCCTTCTTGGCACCTTATGTGGAGTATAAGAAACAAAACAGATGACCATATAGGAGGGAGAGAAAAAGAGAGACAGAAACAAACTATAAAAAACTTATAAAGATAGCAAACTGAAGGTTGGTAGAGGGAGGTGGGTATGGGATAGGCTAGATGGGTGATGGATATTAAGGAGGATAGTTGTTGGGGTGCCTGGGTGACTCAATCAGTTATGCATTCAAGTTCAGCTCAGGTCATGATTTCATGGTTTGTGGATTTGAGCCCTGCATCAGGCTCTGTGCTGACAGTTCAGAGCCTGGAGCCTGCTTCAGATTCTGTGTCTTCCTCTCTCTCTGTGCTTCCCCCACTTATGCTCTGTCTCTCAAAAATAAATTTAAAACATTAGAATTTTTTTTAATGGAGGGCAGTTGTTATGATGAGCATGGTGTGTTGTATGTAATTGATGAATCACTGGATTGCACTCCTGAAACCAATATTGCTATTGCACTATATGTTAACTAACTAGAATTTAAATAAAATTTTGAAAAGAAACATTTTTTTTCTTTTTCTCCCTGATTCAGTTTTGGGAGCTTATATATTTCTAAGAATTTATCCATTTCTTCTAGGTTGTCCAGTTTGTTCATATATAATTTATCATCATATCCCTTTGTATTTCTGTCAGCTGTCATTTCTCCTCTTTTGCTTCTGATTTCGTTTATTTGAGTCCTCTTTTTTTGGTGAATCTGTCTAAAGGTTTATCAATTTTGTTGATCTTTTCAAAGAAGCAGCTCTTGATTTCATTGATCTCTTCTATTTTTTTAGTTTCCATTTAATATATTTCTCTATTCTTTTCTTTATTTATCTACTGGTTTGGAGTTTTGTTTGCTTTTCTTTTTTTAGCTCCTTTAGGTGTAAGTTTAGGTTATTCATTTGAAATTTTTCTTGCTTCTTGAGTAAGAAATGTGCTGCTATCAACTTACCTCTTGGAATAGCTTTGCTGTATCCCAAAGGTTCTGGACTGTTGTGTTTACATTTTATTTTGTCTTCATGTATTTTTTTTTATTTTGTCTTTTATTTCTTTGTTGACTTATCCATTATTTAGTAGCATGTGATTTTACCTCCTTGTATTTGTGTTCTTTCCAGATTTTTTCCTTTTTTTAAATGTTTACTTTTGGGGGGGGAGGGGCAGAGAGACAGAGGGTGAGAGAGAATCCCAATCCGCTCTGACAGCACAGAGATAAATGCGGGGCTCGATCTTATGAACCATGAGATCATGATCTGAGCCAAAATCAAGAATCAGACACTTAACCAGCAGAACCACCCAGGAGCTCCCAGGTGCTTATAGTTGATTTCTAGTTTCATAACTTGCTCCTTAATTCTTATATGGGTCCCCACAATTTATATGCATCCTATTTCCTTTTTATATTTCATTGGGTTCAAAATATGAAACTCCTTTAATATTCAAAATTGCTATTTTGGGTTCCTCTTTGAAATCATACTTGGCTCACTTCAGTTGTATTATTCTGGCACAAGGACAAGTGATGCATATTCAACAAACAACGGTTGCATTCAGTTTAATTGGACACCAAGCTTAGAACCTCGTAAAAGTTCCTGACACATAATAAGTATATGATATCTCTTGTTAAATTTAGTCAGTTGAATGATATTGCATTGAATATCCTGAAATAGTGCCACCTTGATCTGCTCATGTGTGTTCCCATAAGGCCTCTGACCTTACAAAAATGCATTTATTATTGCTTATCCTTTCTTAATTCCCTTACCTCTTTGATGCTAACAATACAGAGTTCTCTCTTTTTTTTTTTTCTTGGATTTTTAAAAATAGTTTTTCTCTAATTGATCTACCTTATTTAAAAGCATCTATATTCTGCACAAATTAACTTTTATGTTATATTATATAACTATACCACTGGGATCTATACAAGTAGAATGTCTCCTTACACGATATAGTGTCCAGCCATATTTATTTATTCCCTTGAGAATTTCCTTCCTATATTGTAATACATCCCACCTCTCACTGACATCTTAAAAGGAAACAACAGCTTTTCCCTCACTCTTATTCATTTCTCTTGAATTGTTATTTTAGTCCATTTCAAACAGAAATCATATACTGCTGCCAAACATATTAATTATTTAGATTCTCATTTCAGCTTTTTCCTTTACATATTGTGACATCCTTTATGTCTTTTCTGAAAGAACATTTTTCTCATTTTCAGAAGAAATAGGATCAATGTAGAGAATATAAAACATAAAGAAAAGTATATAGATGCAAATTAAAATCACCTCTGAATGGCAAATTGCCTGCCATCCAGAGATTTTCTGCTTTTTTCCTTATATACATGTACATATATTTTTCTGAACTAAATTAAGATCATACTATAATGTACTTCTTTATTTGTTTTGTTCAACTTTAATGTTATATTAACACTTTCATGTCATTAAATATTTCTCAAAATATCATTTTTGTGAATGTGAAATATGCATTTAACCAATACCCTTTTTGGGGGGATTTGGAGATATTTTATTTGTGTCAATTTTTCATTGTTATAAGTTATGCCATGATTGACATTTTGTACACAAAATACTGTGTTTGTGATTATTTTCTTCAGCCCCTAAAAGTAAAACTAAGTAAAACTTTTTATAATTGTCTTTACAACTCTTGGTATGTATTGCCAGTTGGTCCCCCTAAGGAATATAATTTCTGTCTTTTCCCATTCATTATTGTGGTTCCCTACTTTGGGGGTAAAAAATAGATAGGCATCATGGCAGACCTGTTGCTAATAGCCAGCATGATGAGTCAACCCATTTCTGTTCATCTGTTGTTGAAATCCCCTCATTTCACCCATCTTGTTAATTATTCCTTAATTTGTCCACTTGCTAACTTATTTCTTCAATTGACTCCTCAAACAATGATCACTCATCAACCCAATGTTAGAATGTCACTGCGTACCCAAATCAATGCAAGGTGCCAGGTGTGTTGAAGGGACTAAACCGTGGTTCTTGCACCAGGTAGCTGCACATAGTGGCTGATCAGAGCTAAATACCATGAGAATACATTCCTGTTCATGTTTTTGGAGAAACGTGCATTTCAAAAATGTTTCTGTACTCGTATTAGTGATCACTTTCTACACATACCTTACAATTCTCAAGCATATACATTATGTAACAAAAAGCTTACCTTTATGTAGATTCCTTTCACTTTTTACCAGTATGATAAGCCTAAAACTCATTCCTTTAATGAGCAATAAATTCCACATTTAGTGTTCTCCTTTTTTATTTCAGAATGCAATACTGTGTGTGTGTGTGTGTGTGTGTGTGTGTGTTGAAAAACATGACAATTTAACAGTGAACGTTTCTATGAAAAGGCATTAAATAATGGAATGAGCTCACTTTTGTTAATTTTCTTTGTTTTTCAATGTTTTCTGAACTTTCTACCATATGTATATATCTGATCTATAATCAGGAAAAAACACATTTGCAAATTGAAGTTTGTTCACTCAGCTATAGTTTTTATGATGTATGGAGTACTTACTAACCTCCTATATGCCTGAATACATATATGTTGGGTCAATTTGTTATGCTGGCTTGATGTCTAATTTCTTTTTCATTTAAATCATGTTTTTTTCAGTGTCCTCTATGGAAATAAGATCACGGAACTCCCAAAAAGTTTATTTGAAGGACTGTTTTCCTTACAGCTACTGTAAGTATTTGATTGTTTCTGATCTGTTGAACCAAATATAATATTTTAGTCAGTGTACCATCTCATATTTTCATGGAAGCTTCAGAAAAACTCGACCCCAAATGACATAGTTTAATGAAATGGAAAAGATTAGTCTAGTGCAGCTCACATTGATGGTGGTTATTTATTTGAAGACACAGCACTTTGAAGTTGTCTCAAAACCTTTCTCTCCACCCTGTCAGAAATATATGCTTCCTGGCTACTCTGTCATTTAAAGCTTGTGCAGTCCCTGCCCTTTGTGAAACTCTCTGTTTTGATTTAACAGTAGTTGGGAAGGAGAGTGACATAGTGATATGTTTATCCACCTTTGTCCAAAGAATGTGCAGGGGTAACAGTGCTGGAATAAGGGCCAGAGCACAGCAATAGCACCCAACTTGGTATATACTGAGAAAATTATCTATAAATCGCTGGATTGCATCTTTTAAAAACCATTCTGCTTAGACAATAACTACCATTCATTTGTGTCAAAAGAATTTACTATACATACATGTATAAGAACAAAACCTGGCCACAAAGTGTTTAAATGAATGCTCCTATGAAAAGGAAATTGGAAGAAATATGCTAACATTAAGATGATTACTGTTAGATCATCAAATTCTGTTCAAATCACCAAGCATACGTAGACTTCCACATTCAGGGGATACAAATATGACGATGATGTACTGTGCTCTCTCAACTAGTTCACGGCCAGTTGACTCTAAAATTCTTAGGTTTAAAATGGTACTTTCTCTGTCGAGTGTATACATGTGTTGGTGTCAGGGTTTGTACCACTGATCTTGTATAAATTTACTCCTAATCCCCCAAGACTTCCCAGACGTAGATCTCTTCCCTTACTTGGTAAATGTAAGTTCTTACTTACATCCTAGTCTTCATGTTTTAAATTTTTATCAGTATCAAGAAACGTATTTTATATCACAGTCCAGTTTCACACACAACACACACAGACACACACACGAAGCAAATTGTTAACTAAATAATATTTAGCCTTACTGTGTGTAGTGCTCTCCCTTTTGCTACATTCTCTCTCTCTGTATGTCTCCCCCTCTCTCTTTTCAATCTCTTTAATACTGTACAACCCAAAAAATTGATTTTACAAGAGACCAGTAAGTCATGATAAATACTGATCCTTGTGCCCTAATGTCTTTATTTGGGTTTCAAATTATTTTTAACCCTTGAGGTGGACTCAGCAAATACTGTTTCTGATCTTTAATAGAATGACTCTGTATACATTACATACACTATAAATATAGCTATTGCTTTAGTCAAGCATTGTCTATATATTACCTGCTTCTCTGTCATTCTTTTACATTCTCGTAGCACTATTCTCCTTGCCGTTTACTCGTAATCTCTTGCTATCACTGGCCTGCTTAGTACCCACACTGAAAATAGCACCTTCTCTGCCCTTCCACACACACTTACTGGTCGTTGATGTAACAAACAGGTGAATAAACCACGGGATCTGTATGGAGATGAACCTTACTTAAAAAGCTATCTTTGTCCCTCAGCCTAATATTTTGTCCCCAGCTCAAGGCCCATCCTTAAGCCTGCCAGGACTAAAGCAACATGATTATCTCTTTATGGCTAGCTGAGAACTTGGTTAAGCATCTTAGATTTGCTTGAACAGATGAAAAGAAGTAAGTGAAAGGAACGGAAGAAAGTAGTGTCTAACTCTTTCTTTCTCCTAATTTTCAGACCACATAATGTAAAGTAAGTACAAAATGCTCAAAACAGGCACCTTTTTCAATTGTCTTCCAGGCTCCCTATTTTGTCCTTCTCCTTACTTCTGCTCTCTGACTCCTTCATTTGGCTGACAGATTGGAGAACACAGTAGGTGTGACCTGTGTTGTGGCACAGAGTAGAGAAATGGGATTATCAGTCCACACCTCAGACTAGTTCCTAAGCTTTTAAGAAAGCATTATGAGGACCACAGAGAAGATCAAAGTGTCAGGTCCTAAAGGCGGGGGGTAAAAAAGAGGAGGAAAGAGAATCACCACAAGGAAGTCATAGCTTTGCAAGTATGTGGAATCCCTAAAAATGCAAGTAAAACAGAGGTGCCGGGGTGGCTCAGCTGGTGAAGCATCCAACTCTTTAATATTGGCTCAGGTCATGATTTCACAGTTCATGGGATTGAGACCTATGTTGGGTTCTGGGCTGACAGTGTGGATCCTGCTTGGGATTCTCTCTCTCCCTCTACCTCTCTGCCCCTCCCCAGCTCATTCTCTCTCTCTCTCTCTCTCTCTCTCTCTCTCTCTCTCTCAAAAATAAATAAATTTTTAAAAAGCAAGTAAAACAGAAATACCCTATGTTAATTAGAGATTCTTATGACCAAAGAGAAACCATTTTCAGTATATTAAATAAGGCATACAAACCCAAACCACAGAGCACATATTTTTTGAGCTACTAAATATTTGTCTAAGTATCAAAGCACTAAACTAAATGCTAGCAGAGAAAAAAATATCAAAAAAAAATTCTGTGCTCATGGAGGGCAAAGAAGTAGGCCTGCATAAAGTAGGTGCCAAGACTAAATAGCACTGAACAACTTCCTTGGGAACCCAGAGGAAGAAATACTTTAGTTGGATGGAAGGCATGCTCTGGAAAAGGTAAGCTTCCCGTGAGGCCATAATAGGCCACAGGATTGAAGAAAGTGGAAGGCGGGGCAAGTATATTCCCAAAGGGAGTCCAACATGAATAAAAGCTGAGACATGATCTCATATACCCTACGAGAAAGGCGTTTGTCAAAGTATGATTTGTGAACCACAGTTTCACAGAACATTGATGTCGAATATTGAGAACACGTTGAAAAAAAATGAGTGTGTAGGATATTGTGTTAAATTAACTTAAGTGGATGTTTATAATGCAAGACCAGGGCCTTTAATATGCTTATGAACTGTGTCACTCTCCAAGAGGGCTGTAAAGTATTAATTCAACAACAGGTACTTATGGAGCACTTAGTATGTGCTCAGCACGGGAGAAACATTAGGGAGCTAAACCGACAAATACGCTGTCTGGAGGCAACATGCAAATGACAGCAATGAAGTGAGAAGTAAATCAGGGGTGCCTGGGTGGCTCAGTCGGTTGAGCATCCAAGACTTGATTTTGGCTCAGGTCATGACCTCACGGTTCATGAGATAGAGCTCTGCATTGGGCTCTACACTGACAGCACAGAGCCTGCTTGGGATTCTCTTGTCTCCTCTCTCTCTGTCCCTCTCCTGCTCTCTCTCTCTCTCTCTCTCTCTCTCTCTGTCAAAATAAATAAATAAACATTAAAAAAAATAATGTAACAAGTAAATCATATACAACAGAAAGAAATACACACTTAGGAAAACAGAAAAAAAAAAGATCATAGTAAAGAAATCGAGTGTGTTAGAGGTTGAGGAGGGGCAAACGCAGGGGATGGTATTAAAGAGAGTGGTCGGGGTAGGCTGAATTGAGAAGGTAAGATTGGACCAAACTCAAAGAAGCAGAGTAGTCAGACAGCAGGGAAAAGAACATTCCAAGCTGACATCCCTACATGGAGACCTGTGTGGCTGGAGCTGAAGCAGCTGGGGGAAAGAATGTGGAGGTCACAGAGTCAGAAGGGGGCGCTAACGGTCCTATTGCGCCTTAAGGCAATTTGTCAGGACTTTGGTTTCCTTAAGAGCAGTTTGAGAGTTGTTGCCTGGCTTTGAAAGGAAAGTGATCTGTGTTGTAAAAGGCTCACTCTGGCTTCTGTTTTGAAAGTAGACCGAACTTCTTCACAGAGCAGCTGGAAAGACTAATGTTTTATGACGGGCTTTTTTATGGCATCCTTGACTTCAGAAGTTGGCTCTGCTTTGTCTACTGCACTACCCTTCCACCTTCCAGAGAATATGTTTCATTATTTCTTCTGAATAAATGTATGAGTACCACTAGATTTATTAAACTGCATGCCCTTCGCTTTATCTGCTATAACCCCAAATCTTCCACCTGTGGTACCTAAATTATTACAGTTAAAATGTTAATGTTGAGGTTCAGAAAAATGTATTTGTTGATTTCTTGTATTTCTCAAGAAGGACAGAATCTTAAAGGTGGGTTAAGAAGATGCTGCACTTTAATTCTGCAACTATTTGATCAAACAGATTATTGAATGCCAACAAGATAAACTGCCTTCGGGTAGATGCTTTTCAGGATCTGCACAACTTGAACCTTCTCTCCTTGTACGACAACAAGCTTCAGACCATTGCCAAGGGGACCTTTTCACCTCTCCGGGCCATTCAAACCATGTATGTATCTATGGCTTGGATCAACTATGGTGACTGGTGTCTTCACTATGGATTTGAGAGTTGAGTTCATTGCAAGTCGAGTATAAAAGTGTTCTGTATGTGTTTCTGAAAGGCATTTGGCCCAGAACCCCTTTATTTGTGACTGCCATCTCAAGTGGCTGGCGGATTATCTCCATGTCAACCCCATCGAGACCAGTGGTGCCCGCTGCACCAGCCCCCGGCGTCTGGCAAACAAAAGAATAGGACAAATCAAAAGCAAGAAATTCCGTTGTTCAGGTAATTTCTTACTTTATGTGACATTTCACTTGTGTTACAAAAACAGTGGTTATGGAGACCTAGAGACAGCTGGTTATCAGATCAATTATCAAACATTGTAGAATAGAGTTCTTCTACTTCTGTCCACAAAGAACTAAATAGAGAGCTGTAGACACAATTCATATATCCCTCCTATATGTAATATCTTTAACACTATATCCAGCATAACAAATAGGCTACCAGCCAAGAAAAAAGATGCCTGGATACTTCAAGCTGTATTTTTGGAATTTGAACTTTTAGCAAACTCAGAATACTTTTCAAGTCTGTTAAGTTGTATGTTTGTTGGATTATTCTCCATTGAAAAACTTTAGGTAATCAATCACGTTCTCATTTCTTCAGAAAGGGAACTGAGACTTAGTTAGGTGATTTGCTCAGGCTCAGAATTAGGGGGAAAGATTTCCCTATCCCTTGCTTCTCGCACCAAATGTGTTTTCTTATTTTTCATCCTCTTATTTCAAATAGGATTCTGAGAATAATTTCTTTTTCCAAAAGCCCATCTTTTAGCATTTGGGGAATATCATACTTATTTATAAAAAGCTAAATGTAGATACATTGTATTACCATTAAATAAAAGACCGACTGCAGTGACATTTACTATTTGCTTTGGACTAATCTTTTCTGTTTTCCTACGATAAAACACATTCTGAATGTTTTGGGTAGTATGTTATCTGACTATTGCAGGGGTATTTCACATTCGGCAGTTAATTCATACTAAAAAGCTAATATCAAAACAAAGCTATTTATTGTCCGTGGTTCTAGATACATTTACTACTCCCTGTACATTATTATATCTCAGCCACTGCTGTGAATAGAATTCACTTAATTATCTATAGTGCCTTTAGTCCATTCTTAATCTAATATAACTCCTATCTCTGCTTGCTGACATTCAGGTGCATCTTCTATTTTTTTTTTTCTCTTTTTTTATTTAGCTAAAGAACAGTATTTCATTCCAGGTAGGTTTTGCTCGGTAGTAGGACTAACCACAGATACCCTTTCCTCACCTTATAAAATATAGCTTCTGAAACTTTGATGTGCATGCGTTTGAAAGTACAGTGGGTACTCTGTAGATAGATTTACTTCTGCATAGATCACTTGTAGCTGTTTCCTGAAAACTTGACCTTTGCATGCAGCTTCTGATGTTAAACTTATATATTATTAAACTCCCATCTTTTTTTTTTTCTCTCTCACTTTGGCACATTATCTAAAATTTCTCACAGTACCTAAAACGTTTGAACCTGTAGCCTTCTACTTAAATCATTTTCTCTCCTTATGTTGTATATCTGATCTTTCAACCTGTTTTTAAAATGTAGCTTATTGAGCTGGTTTTAAAGACAGAGACCTTTCTGTTGTCAAAGAACTAGTTCTACATGAAATCAGTTACCAACACATAGAATGAATTCTCTTTTCAACCATGAGATTTACTTTTTTGATGTAACTATACTAAAAATGTATGCCTTACTTTTTGTTTTATTTGGCTTACTGATGCTTCACTTTTTATACAAAAACAGCAACTTCCTGCTTGCTTACATACAGTTATATGTTGTTTGTGACTTAACAAAACTGAACAAACTTCTTGTATACCTGGAGTGACAATATAACTCCACAAAAACAATATTGACATGCATCCTGAAAGCATCAGGTGTTCATAGGCACCAAGTGCCTTGAATAATTTAAGCATATGAATGGAATGCGTTTTAGAAAAGTAATTGAAATGTTTTACCACTACAATCTCAACACTGTCAAGGCTGATGATTCTGGAACTAGCTCTTTGAAATATGTTTCTTCACTTCTTTTTTCCTTGCCTGCCAACTGTGTAAAATGCCTCTTGACTTGTTTGTTTTAGACCATTATATAAAAATATGTGTTAGTAATTAATTGGCTACATTTACCATCTCCTGGGGATATTCTAGACTATTATATATTTTAACACCCACCAATAAGAAGATTATTTATACAGTGTTAGTATGCAAAAACCATACTGATTTTTTAAAGGAGAGTACTGGGTTAGGTTTGGTCTTTATTTTAAGGAGATATGTGTTATTTACCTTTATTGAATTATAATTTGAATAATTTTGTTCATTTAATGGATTTTGTTTTATTACTTATTTTGAGCTTGAGTGATCAATAGTATTTTACATGTTACACTGGCTACATAAGACATAACATGGTGGAAACAACAGTTGATTGGCCTTTATTGGCAATCTTTAAAATTCATTATTTTTACCTCACTATTAAGCAGAAAGTCATCTGATAGCTATTACTTACCCAGAAAAAGCCATATTCTAAACACCAGAACACCTATAGGATAAAACATTAATATTGCTTAAATCCTCAAATTCTGCCAATTAATATAATTGTTACCGAATTCTTCAATTAATTACATTTAACTCTACTTTATTAATAATTTAGAAATTAATATTTCTGGATCACCAATTAAAGACCCAAAGTCAGATTGTTTTCATTAATTCTGATAAAGTTTTGCCCATTTACTGACAGCGGTCAAAATAAGCTTTCTTGGAAATACATTTTATATGTGATGCCATAGCTTCATTTTAAATTTCTGTTAATTCAATTTGCATTAAAGCAATAATAATAGAAGTCAGGACTCAGAAGGTTTCTTTGAGCCTTTTCTCCCTCTTTTTTCTCTTATAGATTTCAATTAAAATTTTATCCTACCTAAACAGTCTCCATAAAAGAAACAACATTGTCATTGCATGGAATGCAGATTATTTTAAATGTAAGATACCCAGAGTACCTGTCATGTAGACCTTGTTGCCAGTGTTTCTTCATTTCACTTTTAAAACGAAAGCCTAAACTGCATTACAAAAGTTCCTCAATAAATACCTTGGCATTCGTTGCCAAATCTAATGAAATGATTATATTCAGCTTTGCAATCTGATGAGATTCTCATTTCATTTCCACTAAGTGACATTATTTATAAGTTGGAAAAATCATTAAAAAGCATGTAAGCCACCACCTAAGGATTAATCCAGATGGATTTGTTTGTAAAGATCTCCATGATTCGTTTTTCACTTCAGTTTGCTTGTTTACCTGCCTACCGTCATTCTATATGGCATTCTAGATACTATAGTGATAACTCAAAAGAAAATCTATCTTGCAGAGAGTTCATCATTTAAAGGAATCGACAAGAACCTAACTTGTGCTGTGCATCTTGTATGCCATTGCTTTTCCTGTAAGACCACTGTGCTTCAAAAAATTACTACAAAAGCTTGCAAAGCATGACGATTGCTGTCATACTATGCCTTTCCCGTCCAATTGCCATAGCAAGGAAAGAAGGAGGAGACCTTAGCTAGTTTTATGTATGTGTTTATTAATCTTAATCGGGATTACTCTTTCTTTCCTTCTTGGTGATTTTTACTTTTGCAGGAATTCACCATTTTGGCTGTAAGTAAAAGTGTCTGATCTGAAACATAATGTCCTCCCTTTTCAATCCTGATGTACCTTCTTCTAGTCTCGGTCTTTTGCGCCTTTTTTCCGCCCCCCAAGAAGAAACCACAGATCTTTTGAGCTTCTCTGTTGTCCTTGTAGCTCACCTTCAACTTCTTCCTGGATGTTGTTCCCGAAAGCTGTTGTTTCCATTCTGCAGTTCTGAGGAACAATGGAGGCACCTTTCAGTGTAGCCCCCTTCTTTGTGTTTCCAGGAAATCTTCGGTAGTAATACTCTTACTATGGTCATAAACATTCTGCGGGAAGAATGCATGTCATGTAAACAGTATTACGTTTCCAGAACGTCTGTAGCTTTTTCTCCTGCTTCCCTTCATCTTTCCTCTCGGTCTTACCCTTGGCCTAGTGGATGGTGTAGTGATTATGTAGCGAGATTTTCTGTTGTGCTTGATCTAACCATGTGGTTGCCAGGTATGAGTAAAACATGGTTCCGTCAAGCACCATGGAACGTCACGCAGCTTTCTACAGCATGACAAGCTGCTGAGGCTTAAATCAGGATTTACTGGTCTCTTTTTATAAAATCAAAATGAAAAAAGAGGGCTTTTTAGGCATTTCTGAAGATTATGTGAGAGGGAGAGAATACTAAAAGACCACAGAAAATTTAAAAACCTGAGTACATCTATTTGCCTTGAAAGCCCTAATTTAAAATGATATATAGGAACATGTCTATTACTGGATACATTTTAAATTCTCGACTCAGAGAAAAAAAATAAACTTTTTAACAATTAATAGCCATTGTATGATTAGCTGTCAAATAGGCTAGAATGGCTCATAACTGGATCAGCAGAAAGTACAGCTGTGAAAAGCTCATCTCTATTAATGTTTTCCTGTCCTGTGAATCTGGTTACTTTTTTTTCCAGCAAATTCCAAGCCCTTGTTTTAACCCTCTCCTGACATCCATTGACCAAAAATTCCCCAAGTTGTCTCCCTGCTGCATAATCTATAGTTATCTTACTATTTTTCTTCCTACAAATTAATGAATATTCTAACCTTTAGACTAAGTATCTTTTTTTTTTTTTTTCTTTTGGCTTGAATCCTCAATAGGTACAGAAGATTATCGATCAAAATTAAGTGGGGACTGCTTTGCAGATTTGGCTTGCCCTGAGAAGTGCCGCTGTGAAGGGACCACGGTAGATTGTTCCAATCAGAAACTCACCAAAATCCCAGACCACATTCCCCAGTACACCGCAGAGCTGTGAGTTCATCTCCTAACAAAATCCAGGTTGGGAGGGAGGGAATGAAAGCATCGAAGCAATGGAATTTTTGTCTTGCTCTTTTATTCTTGATGATTGCATTGATTTTAATGAACACGCATGGCCGTAACTCTCCTTTGTACAAAGATAGATTAGAGGCTATCTGACTTCATCTTTCTGGTCCAAGATACGACTCCAGAAGTTAATTTACTTCTCAAAAATTCAGTTAGCTCTTGGTAATGCTAAGAATAAGAGCATTCATTTGATATTTATTTCTTGGGTATTATTTATGCCCATACCCATTTCTAAAAATGTAATAGATTTCTAAGGGATATAGTCTTTCACAGCAACCAAATAAAGTACTTTGAGAGTCACCATTTTGAATCTCTGTATATTATGAATTAAAGCAGAGAGCCTTTATCCGGTTTATTACTTCACGGACCTGAAGGTGGAAGGATTCAGTGATTATCAAGTATTACAGCACAGCGGGTAGGTTTTGTTTTTCCTGAGTAATGGATAGCATAGCAGAAAAACAAAAGAATAGTGAGATTAGGTTTATATTTATAACCCTAACAAGGGCCTAGCACATACTAGGTGCTAAAACATGTTTGTTGAATCATCTATAGATTCTGTGCCATGTATGGTTTGCCTTTAGTGACATTATTTATAAAACTAAGACTAGTGTTCTAAAAATTGAAGAAAAACCTGGTGACATCTCATTGTTTTCGGAACATCTTAGCAACGTTTATGTATAGCACCATCTGGTATCTGCCACTTCTTTGCAAAGTCGGTTGTCCTTTTCTGCATGCATAACCCTTTTGTCTTCAACTAGATTGTAACTCCTTGATGACAGGGATTGTGTTTTATGGTTTATCTCCCACCATGCCTATATTCGTGCCTGTTACTTAATGAATTCTAAGCAATTTGAGTAATTTCAAATAATGTAATGCTTTCAAAGGGATGACAGAAACTACACCGAGGCTGTAGTGATACTTTTTTTTTTTTTTATTCCTGTTACTTTTTGAATCTATTTCATAGCTCCAGGATTTTTTGAAATGTGTGAAGAACATGCAGTAAAAGGCCTGAACTCTATTTTATGGTCACATAGGGAGTTGTGTGTATTGCCAATATTATTACAAACAATAATTCAAATTATATCTTCCTGCATGATAACAGCTTAAATAGGCTTACTTGTCAATTAAGAATTACAGCACTAACATCTAATTTATTATTCAGCAAAGTTTTTGTGTGTTTTAAGAAATTAGGAGCTTTTTAAATTATACATTTAAAAATCAGTACTGGGAAGAAAAGATTTTCAAATTATGTATCCAGTAGGGGACTTCTATCCAGAATATATAAAGAGCTATTACAACTCAACAATAAAAAAGGTATATTACCCAATTTAAAAGTGCTCAAATTATTTGTGTGCACATTTCTCTAAAAAAGAAATACAAATGACCAATAAGCACCTAAAAAATGCTTTGTATCATCAAGTATTAGGGAACCATAAATCAAAACCACAGTGAGGTAACACATCCCCTAGAATGGCCATAAAAGCAAAAAAAAAGACAGTAACAGGTGAGAGAAATTGGACCCCTCATGCATTGCTGGGGGAATATAAAATGACACAACATCTTTGGAAAACAGTTTGGCTAGTCATCAAATTGTTAAATATAGTTTTACTATGTAACCCAGCAATTTCACATCAGTGTAAATATCCAAAGAAATCAAAAACATGTATCTACACAAAAACTTCTACCCCAATGTTGGTAGCAGCACTATTCACGATAATCAAAAAAAAGTAGAAACAACCCAAATATCCATCAGCTGGTAATGGGATAAACAAAATCGGCGTGTCCATAGACTGGAATATTATTTGGCCATAAAAAGGAATGAAGTGCTGACATACGCTAAACATGGATGAACCTTGTAAACATTGTGTAAAGTGAAAAAAGCCACACTTTTCATGAATTCATTTGTATGAAACATCCAGAATAGGAAACTCCATACAGACAGAAAGTAAATTAGTGGTTGCCAGGGACTGAGGCAGGGAGGGAAGCAAATTGAGAGTGACTTCTGATGGGTATGAGATTTCTTCTTGGTGGTGGATATATTCTGGGATTAGGCAACAAACATAGTTGCACAGATGTGTGAATACACTAAAAACCACTAAATTGTACACTGTAAAAGAGTGAATTTTATGGCATATAAACTGCATATCAAAAAATCCATTAGTAAAAAATATTTGCAGCAAGTGGTTAGAAAAAATGGTTTAAAATGCTTTTTGGGAGAAAAATGCTTTGGGGGAGGAGGGACAATAGTGGAAAAAAGTTTGAGAAAGTTTATTCTATAAATTACTGAGTGAGAGCTAGTTTTGATTTTTGATCATTGGTTTTCCTTATTATATGCTTCTTCATATTTTATTTTGATCATTGAAATTTGAGTGAAATGGGGAAAAATCAGTACTTCCACAGATTTTCTGTGGCATGTGTTCTCTATTTTACTTTGGAATAATTATTAAATGATCTTACAATTCTGTTATGAGAAATAAAATCTAATCCCTTCCTAACTGTTGGTAATGAAAGTTTTTTTTCTTTTTTTCTGAGGCGTCTCAATAATAATGAATTCACAGTGTTGGAAGCTACAGGAATCTTCAAGAAACTTCCGCAGTTACGTAAAATGTAAGCCGTGCATTAGCCACCTTTTAAACTTTCTGTGCTGTTTTGTTGTGTTTTTCACATCCCTTTGCAATTTTATTCAGATTTCTTTGGAAATTGGAAACTATAAAAGGCTGGGCGAAATTTCCATACAATGACTACCTGTGACAGGATTTTAGGGTAATTTCTGAGAGGAGTTTCAAGCGATGCCAACCACGTTTTCTCTAACAGAGCCCCTAGCATCTTATTTTAATTCAGACAGCTGGTTTGTTATGTGGCCACAGCAGGAGTTCAGCAATCTAAGCACATTAGAAATGGGTGCGGTAATGTTTTGTAACTTCCTTTACTATTCCCTAAACCACGCTGTTATATCTCTTTCAGCACATTCATGTCAACTATTTGACTTTTTGCTTCATTAAACTTTCATTAGAAGATAGTCAAAATTAATGATTGGTAAACTGGCTTGATAGCTCATCTGTGTTACTACATATCCACAACTCATATTTTAAAATCAGTTTATCAACTCATCAGTTTCAGTAACACTCAGACAATATTCCCCTCCCCTGAGGAGGTGGAAGGGTGGGAGGGACAGAACAGAGGTCAAGTATGTAAGGCCAATGGAACAGCCTCCATCTGAGAGGAAACGTTGAAAGGAGAAAAGGAGCATTGTTCTGTTTCATATCTGTATCTGGCCCATGGTCACACTGACTTGTAAGTGGCAGAGTAGTCTACTTCCTGTGCACTTGACTCCCATATTGTACTGCATCCCAAAGAGTTTCATATTATTTCATTTTTCTCCTTTTCACTGGCACTGATTGCTCTTACTTTTTATTCATACCTTTGAAGTCAACACATATTTATTGAGCAACTCCTACATGCAGTGCTCTGAGAGGAATACAACGATACATAAAAATGATCCTTGTTCTGGGAGCATTCTGTGTCTTTGAGTGAGCAATGAGAAAAGGAAAGATAGAACCTGTAGCAAGGGGTTACCTCAGTTGGATGTTTTTGCTCTCTGGGCAAGTATTGCAGTATTTTGTGTTACACAGGATATTGACAGTTAAGTTGGCTGTTTTGACACATTATTACAATAAGAAGTTTTACTGGGAACAAACCCCTATTCTGATACATTTCTTTTATTTTTTTATTTTTTTAATGTTTATTTTTGAGAGAGATAGAGACAATGCGAGTGGGTTAGGGGCAGAGAGAGAGGGAGACACAGATCTGAAACAGGCTCCCTGCTCGGAGCTGTCAGCACAGAGCCCGACGTGGGGCTCGAACTCACGAGCTGTGAGATCATGAACTGAGCCAAGGTTGGACACTCAACCGACTGAGCCACCCAGGTGCCCCTATTCTGATACACTTCTGATGCTATCTAAATGTTCACACATTTAACCCATCTTTCTTCTCTCTACCCAATTGCCTTCTTTTAGTCATTAATTCATTCAGTAGTCTTTGGGGCATTTCTTTAAAAAGTTCCTTTTGAAGTATTGTGCTGAATATAAAGGTTTTTTGTTTGTTTGTTTTTTTCAACGTTTATTTATTTTTGGGACAGAGAGAGACAGAGCATGAACGGGGGAGGGGCAGAGAGAGAGGGAGACACAGAATCGGAAACAGGCTCCAGGCTCCGAGCCATCAGCCCAGAGCCCGACGCGGGGCTCGAACTCACGAACCGCGAGATCGTGACCTGGCTGAAGTCGGACGCTTAACCGACTGCGCCACCCAGGCGCCCCTGAATATAAAGGTTTATACAACTCAATACCTGACCTCAACAATGTTAGACTCCTAGTGACCCTTGAAGATCATTTTGACGTTGATTGGGCTGGTATTTTTCACCATAGACATTCTCCCCCAATATTATCATCAGTTTGGTTCAATGGAATAGGAAGTGTGGTGTCTTTTCAGAACCTGTGGTGCTTTGCAGTGAAAAGCTTGGAAATTATGGAAGAATTTGCTTAGTAGAAGAAAATGGTCAGCCATGTTGTCTCAATGCCCTTGTTGAAAGAAATAGCTTAAAATCTTGATTTCAACATTTTTTTTTAATTTAGAAACTTTAGCAACAATAAGATCACAGACATTGAAGAGGGAGCATTTGAAGGAGCATCAGGTGTAAATGAAATACTTCTCACGAGTAATCGTTTGGAAAACGTTCAGCATAAGATGTTCAGGGGATTAGAAAGCCTGAAAACTTTGTAAGTATTCTCATCTGCATTGTGATTCTTCCATCACAGCACTGTAGTTCACTGGTCATTATAAGTCCAGGTGGGGGAGTAGCTCAGACTCCTCCTCACCCTACCATCTCAACGTCTGTCTACATCTCTCTCTCACAGATACATAGACACGCACGCACGCGCGCACACACACACACACACACACACACACACACACACACACACACATCCTGTGTGTGCAAACATTCCCTTCCTAGAATCCCCCAGACTTCGGTGTGTTGCTTGCAAAAGATTGAGAATGTCTCCCGATGGCTGATTCCTCAGCAAAAAAGATTGCCCTTGTTCCAGGGCTGGTGCAGATTTCCTCCCTTCCCTGGTTCGGCCTCCAAATGTTCATTCTCTTGCCTTTTCATCAAACGCCTCCATCTAACACTCGCTCTTGGCCCCAGGGGTCTAACTTCAGAATCCAATCCAACCCCTGTGGCACAGAATAACTAACGGTTCATCTGAAACCACCTTTGTCTGCTCCTGTGAGGTTTTAGTGAAAAAGAGACTGACTGACGGTAGATCGTGAACCGTCTATTTCAAAGCAACATGCTAAGAGTTGTGCCTACTTGCTCGGGGGTAGGGAGGTTGGGACAAAGAAATTCGTTATGTTTCCAAAAAGTTGTTGACCAAAGAGGACAGGGATTGGATTGAATAGCAAAAACCGCACTTTATGTTAACTTGAATTTTCTACGGTGCATATATGTAGTTTTTATTCTCTCGGAAGTATATAATTATGTTTGACAAAAGTGGCAACCTAAAATTGGAAGATGTACAAATCAACCCTCTGAAGCATTTGGAGGACATGAAGGAAACTATTTGTAACCAAGAAGCAGCTGATGGTGATCACAGTGGAGAGAGGTCCACACTCTACTGTCTCTCCTAAACTGTCACCCTGTCCCTCAGAGCCACAACCAGAAGGGTGGATACTTGAGGACATCCCTTGCCTGCTCTTTATCTGGCGCAGAGGGAGAAGACCATTTCCCCAGCCGGCGTGGATGTGTTGCTAGCATCCTGAATTCAAGTCCTACTGAAAATGTCTGCCCATGAGTGTAGACGTTTGCTCCTGAGCCTCCCAGGGATAGAGTGAAACCTAACATCCAGCAGGGCTAGCCTGCAGCCCTCCCACAGACTAACTTGAGCCCCTTCAAAACGTTATGCAAATAGTCTTTTAGCCTTTTTATGGAGGAGATACCGAGGAGAGGGTAGAGGAGAGCAGAGAAAATACACCACAGGCGGCTGCATCTGTTCCTGCCCCCACCTCCCTCGTCCAGGCTGCTTCAGGCGACTCTGCAAAACACGAATCCTACAAGCAGAAGCATCTTTTGTTGGAAGATAGTTGAGGGACTGCTTGTTACTGGCACCTTCTTGAAGAGGCAGCGTGGGGGTTGGGAAGAGGAGGGGAAGGGGGTGAGGAAGGAGTCTGTATCCCGCCTACATCAGTCTGCCTTGGGCTGCCATAGCACGATACCACAGACTGATGACTTAAGCCACAGAAATTTGTTTTCTCACAGTTCTGGAGCCTAGAAGTCCAAGATCAAGGTGCTGAGAGGGTTGGTTTCTAGCGAGATTTCTTTCTTGACTTGTATTTGAAACCTTCTCCTCTTACATGCACTTTCCTCTGTGTACAGAGAGAGAATGCTGTGGTGTCCCTTCCTCTTTGTATAAGGACACCAGTCCTAAAAGATTAGAGTCCCACCCTCAGGACCTCATTTAACTTTAATTACCTCCATCAAGACCCTGTCTCCAGATATGGTCACATTGGGGCTCAGGACTCCAATCTATGAATTTTGAAACACACAGTCAAGTTCATAACACCATCCCAAGCAGCTTATTCCAGTGTTTTCTTCTGACCAGTTTCTTTCGCAGGACTCTCCCTGAGACAGGTCCTCTAAATTCACTTTCTCCTTCATTATATTTCTAGCGATGTTTTTGTGCCCCAGATGTTTGGGCACAAACAGATGTGAGTGGCTCTATCTTTAACCCACTCTGCCACACAAGAATACTAGAGCATTTTAGAGCCAAGCTCAGTATTCAAAGGACGAAAGTAGGTTTGTCTGGACATATGTATTTCTCTAAGTGATATCTTTGGGCTTGGGACTATGAAGATTTTGACAAGACACCCCCATTATCCCTAGACTTCTTAACTCTTTGAGACTAATAAGCCTCTTAATAATATGTGCACAGATTTCAGTGTGTCTTTGAATATTTGACATTGCAGCCAAAATGTGGTACATATGTGCACTTATGGATTTTTCTAGTAACAAGGAGCAAAACTTTTCTTTAGCTTCTCCCAGGGGTCCATGACTCCACTAAGATTAAGACCAAATACTCTTTATTACTTTATGGCAAATGATAGTGTGGATAGAAATACCTCTCTGTTGTGTATTTGTTTCCTAACGTAAAATTATTCCTTGACAAGGAAGGCAGCATCCTTTCTCCCTATATGTGACTTAACAGAATGCGAAAGTTGATAGTTCTTATGTATTTCTTAGAGCAACCTAGAATTTTAAAGGAACACTTTGTTATTCACTTATTTTTGCCTCTTTTTTTTTTTTTTAACATACTGCAATCTTCTAGGAAGGTGTTCAACACACGCCTTGAAAAGTTAAGTAAAATAACCTCAGCAATTCTGAATAAGATTCATGGCAACTATTCATTTTCACAGGCTTTTTAAGACATTTTTCATTCCTTCTCTAAGCTCCACAAATAAACAGTTCGGCAAAGAATTGAGAATGGAGCCAAAACTTCAGCAGTGACAAGGAAAAGACATCAGTGTTAATCCTATTAATGGCAGTTGCTAAAAATTTAAAGAGGTCAGGATTCTTTCAAGAGAAGCCGGTTTGGAGGCACCCGGAAGTCTCAAGAGTGTCTGACTCTTCATTTTGCTCAGGCTGTGATCTCACAGTCCATGAGTTCTAGCCCCACATCGGGCCATGCACTGAGAGTGCAGAGCCTGCTTGGGATTCTTTCTCTCTCCCTGTCTCTGTTCCTTCCCTGCTTGTGATCGCTCTCTCTTTCCAAATAAATAAATAAACTTAAAAAAAAGAGAAAGAGAGAGAGAGAGAGAAGCAGATTTAAACTTCATTGTGAGCAACTGGGATCTGTTAACTCTTGCCTCTTTTTAAGTTCCAAACTTTAAAATGATAAAATAATTTTCATAAATAACGTGTGCAAGATTTGCAGGTGCTCAGTCTAGTTTGGGTTCCCCAGCCTATGCTGACATTGACGTGGCATCTAAGTCCTTGAGATGCTCTCAGTTCCCCATCTGCTGTGTGTGACTATTGATTCTTTTCTGCTTCCTTTCTGTTAAACCTCAGATGTAATGCTACCGTGAATGCACAAATCACAGGCCTTCAAGGGCTCAGAGAGCTGTAGGTGAATTAGGACATTATGTAATCAGGCAAACATAATTATAGCATCAGAGGAAGACATCCTACCCTCATCAGATGGGGCTGTGAGTCCACGTGAGGCTCACCCGTGCTTTTTTGTAGATGAGTGCAATCATTGCAAACTAAGCATTTTTTGGTATATATCCACAGCAATTCCTAATGACAAGAGATCACTCAGAAAACAGTAATGAATGCCACACATTTGCAGAGGGGTTATTTGGATCCTCAGATGGGCAAAACTGATTGCTTGATGCTTTCTCTCCATAACAATGTTCTCCTTTCCCTCAGGATGTTGAGAAGTAATCGCATAAGCTGTGTTGGCAATGACAGTTTCATAGGACTGAGTTCTGTGCGTTTGCTTTCTTTATATGATAATCAAATCACTACCATTGCACCAGGGGCATTTGATACTCTGCATTCTTTATCTACCCTGTAAGTATGAAAGATCTTCTTCATTTCTGTATTACTGAGCCAATGTATTATATTTGTTCCTTTTATTAATAGCATTTTAATACATGATTAGGCTTTTCACAAAAATGGGATCAAGGGTTTAGTGTTCAACAAATTTGTATGTTAAATTTATGTTAATTTTTCTAAAAATATTACCTACCCTCTCATATTAAAATTTAAAAAAATTTATAATATTTTCAATTATTTTTATAGTAATGTGATGTGACTTGATTTATAAATTTTAATCTTATAACTTGATTGCACTGCAAATCACAGAAATGTAGTAGATTTCCCCAGTGTTCTCACGTCAGAGTCTTTTCGGTGTAAATACCATAAAAACAGAGCTGATAGGGTTATTGCCAACAAACTATGCTCAAAAGGATCATTCACAGTGACAGGAGCGACATTAGGATGGCCAGACCAACAACAGAGACTGTTCACTGGAGGGCATTTACAATGATATTAGGAAAATATTGAAGAAATAGGTTGAGCCTGTCCAAGAGGATATTTTATGTAGACAGTTAGAAAATGAAGAATATTTGTAGGTCCATAGATAGAACTCAGAAGGTGTTGTTTTAAAAAAAGAAACAAACAAAACCCTCTAAACAATATATTTTAGTTCTCTTATATGTCATTATCTAAAGAGCAGTATTTGAAATAATAAATCTTATAACAGATTTGATTTCCTAGTGATGGTGGCATCTAAATATACTAATCTAACTGGAAAGGTAGTTAGAAAGGAAAAAAAAACAGAAAACATGTTCAACATAGCTCGAGTCACTGCAGAAATAATTTGAGGGAAGCATCCATCCATCAGTAAAGTACTTAATCCTCTTCTACATAAAATGTGACACTTTACATCGAGTGACTAATTTGTGCATATTAAAGATGGCATGTTTATAAATAATAAGGTTGTCAATAGGTTTGTGCTGAAGTGGTGAGATGCCAAAAGTATTGAGATTTGTAGAAGTAAATTCATGTTTATAACTGGCATTTAATCAACTCAGCTGTCAGTTTAGATGGGAAACCTATTCTCTGGAGCAAATAAGGGATGGAAATCTTGAAATGATAAATTAATAAAATAGCTGTTGTCAGGTTAAACTCAATAATATAAGGTAATCAGCCTCCATCTTTATATTAAATTACTGCATTATCAGTGCAGGGAAGTTTGACAGCAAATCAGATCTCTGACGAGTTTAAATTCTCTCTAAATGAGATATCTATCAGGATCCCCTGCATAAACCTCCAAATTGCTTACTTTGCTTTATTTTCTCCATGAAATTATTTGAAGATTCTTATTTGAAAGTGTTGTTATTTTTCAAGTTCCAAGCAAACATTTTAGCCAAAAAAATGCATCCCACATGTTGCTTGTGATTGAGTATGAATGGGGGATGGGGGTGAGGGGTGGTTAATACAAAGAATCAGAAGGCATCATTCCAGCAGAAATAGTGTGGGAAAGATGGCAGCATGGGGTTTTGAGAGGTAAGAAAATGACCCCCTAAACTCATCCCTGCATTGTTTGCATGCGGCTCTCAGAAACCTGTTGGCCAATCCGTTTAACTGTAACTGCTACCTGGCTTGGCTTGGGGAATGGCTCAGGAAGAAAAGGATCGTAACCGGAAATCCTCGATGTCAAAAACCATATTTCCTCAAAGAAATCCCCATCCAGGATGTTGCCATTCAAGACTTTACGTGTGATGATGGTAAGAAAACCTTGCTAAATCTTTTGTTACCAAGCATTCAAATGACTGGTCCAACGCTAGGGGACACAAACGGATAGTTTGGGGCATTTTTTTTCTTTTGTTTTGTTTTGTTTTAGAAACAGGGCACATACTTTCTCAGACTGTGCTTTCACCTGAGTCTACTTGCTTTGTGTTTCTGAATGTTTTATTTAAATTGTCCAGTTTTCAACTTGTAGTTGGTACTGTTTATATAGCTTCATTTTAACTTTTCTTTATCATTCTAAGCATCTCTTTTAGTAACTGTCATTTGCAAAGGAGAAAAGCAATTGACTTAAAAAACAGAAATTCTAGGGGCGCCTGGGTGGCTCAGTTGGTTGAACATCTGATTTCAGTTCACGTCATGATCTCACAGGTCATGAGTTCAAGCCCCGAATCAGGCTCTGTGCTAACAGCTCAGAGGCTGGAGCCTGCTTCACACTGTGTCTCCCACTCTCTCTGCCCCTTCCCCACTTGCACTCTGTCGAGCTCTCTCTCCCCCAAAAAATAAATAAATAAAATAAATTCTAGTAAATCTAACAAAAATAATAGTTTTCGCTTTTTAAAGCTCTATATGTATCATCATATTTGATTCTCACAATAGCCACATAAGATAGGTAGAGCAGGTTCTGTTATTACTACCAGTAAGTAGAGAGCCCCTTTGAGCCTTATATTTTAAAATGAGGGCCTTGAGGCGCCTGGGTGGCTCAGTCAGTTGAGCATCCGACTTTGGCTCAGGTCACGATCTCACAGTTCATGAATTCGAGCCCCACATCAGGCTCTGTGCTGACAGCTCAGATTCTGGAGCCTGCTTCAGATTCTGTGTCTCCCTCTCTCTCTGCCCCTCCCCTGCTCACACTCTCTCTCTGTCTCTTTCAAAAATAAATAAGCATTTAAAAACATTAAAAAACTTAAAAAACATTTACATTTTCTGCTAAACATTTTAATCCCTCTATGTTTCTTCATGTCTGTGTCCTTATGACTCCTCCATAATTCAGTTTACATTTCTATATTCTAATTAAAAGTATAATTTGTATAAATAACTGACCAGAGAAAATTACTGTTATGATTGTATGGATAATATACATTGTGAATTATTTTCGGGAATCCTGCCCTAGGCAATTTGAAAACAGTGCTGTACAAAACGTATGGTACCAGTTTGTAAATACTCAATGCCCTCTATGTGTATAAGCGATCACATGACTCAAGATTCTTGTGTTTGTTAAGCTAAAAGCATAACATCGCTTCTGTCCTTTTCAAAGCCACAAACCTGGGCTTTCCTGTATTTCTTTCGGGCAATTTAGGAAATGATGACAATAGCTGTTCTCCACTGTCTCGCTGCCCCACGGAATGTACATGCTTGGATACAGTCGTCCGATGTAGCAATAAGGGCTTGAAGGTCTTGCCCAAAGGTATTCCAAGAGATGTCACTGAATTGTAAGTAGAGCTTGTCTGTTTCCTTAACAATTAATATTTCAACAAGGGAAATGGAAACCAAACAAAATGTAGAGTCCCGTTTCCAAATTCCATTCTGTAGGCATTAAATAGTTTCATGTAAAACCCTAAACAGATAATATAAAAGGCAGCTTAGGGGCATCTGGGTAGCTCAGTAGGTTAAGTATCCAATTCTTCTTGATTTTGCCTCAGGTCATGATCTCACAGTTTGTGAAATCAAGCCCCACATTGGGCTTTCAGCCAACAGCAAGGAGCCTATTTAGGATTTTCTCTGCCCCTCCCCTGCACTCTCCCTCAAAATAAACAAATAAACAATTTTTTACAAAAAGGCAGTTTAGATGCACTTGGGAAACTTCAGTTGTGTTTCTTTTATTCACTGCATGATTTCTCAGTGTCTATGTTATGCTAAGGTGCACTGTGACACTCCAAGAGAGGGTGGTAAAATATAAGATAACTCCAATACTCATTTGCCTGTATATCCTTTTTCTCATAGACTATCTTGCAAGACTAATGTTCTAGCAAATACACCTTAGGAAATGCTGTACTTTTAGTTGCTCTACAGTGTCTGGGATATTCCATAGTTTATATGGTTAATTATTCTTTACCACTGTATCTTCCCACGTGGAATTCATAAATATCTAGAATATAGAAGAAGCTAGCATAATCTCTGTGTTAAAAAGAGGTACTGCCCTTTGGCCTTGAATTAGAATCCTTTTTATCATAAAAGGTATAAGCCCAATTATCCCTAACATTTTCATAACTGATATATGACCACATATTGCATGGTCAATATACACTTATCTAGACACTAAATACCAGGCACACTTTCTTCTCTGTGTCATGTTATATATGTGGAACAGAATGAGAACAAGCTGCTTGAGTATTATGAAGTCTGAATGCTCCTTTCCATTCCATACTCTGTATATTTATGTACCATGGACAAATGCTCGATATGAATGCACTTGACTCATTTTGCCTATTTATTTTCTCTATGTGAAACTGTGTAGCAAAAATGATTTAAGTTTAGTGATGGCTCAGTTGGTTGGGCATGCAATTCTTGATTTTGGCTCAGATCATGATCCCAGGGTCATGAAATGGAGTCCGTGTCAGGTTCCATGCTAAAAGTGTGGAGACTACTTGGATTCTCTCTCTCTCTCTCTCTCTCTCTCTCTCTCCTATGCCCCCTCCCCTACTCTCTCTCTCTCAAAAAAAAAAAAAAAAAAAAAAAAAAAAGATTTAGGTTCTAATGTAATTTGTGCAGATGTGTACCTATAATTCATATACATGCGTACGAGCGTTCTAAAAAAGCAGCTTTGATAAAGTTTTGGCAACATGGAACATACATAATGAGTTTTAAGAAGATGTCGCTTCAGTTACCAGGGAAATTATTTTCAAATCATGCACAGTTCTACAAATTTGGTCCTGAATTGAACACATAGAGAAAAAAAAAAAAGAAAAAAAAAGGTGTGATCTTAGCACATATATGCAGAAGGTCTCTCTTAGATTTGAAATGCTGTGAAGTGTTCAGTTTCTCTCTCTGGCCACCCATCACAGTTGTTAATTGACAATAAGCACTACTTTGTGTGTGTGTGTAATTAAATACTTAATTCTTATTTTAGTAAGTATTATTTCAGAAGATTACTCTCCATCCAGTGTTGGAAGCCAGATGCCTTTAGAGTACTCTGTATGCTCAACATTGATTCTAGGAACAGCCCAGCCAAGAACACAACACTCGGCATAAACAGATCATTTTTAACGCGGAATCCCATCTTTTTAACTGGCCCATACCTTGGTGCCTCTACCCAATGCCTAGCAAATAATTTTAAACTTATTCTTTAATTTCATTATTGAATTTCATCTGAGAAGCTACTTGATTCATATCCCGTCTCTGCCGTCCATATGTGTCTTCTGTCAAACAGTTGAATTTTCAATCTGTTTCCTTACAAAGTATTAGAAAGTAATATTTTTCTAACAAAATACGTTATAGAGATGAGGAAAATATTAACTAGTCTCTTGTGAATTCAACTTTTACCTCCCCAAGAGCTTATTCTTAGAATCATACCAAGTTAGCAGGGTCCTTCTCTACAATCACATATATGTGTGTATTAGAAAAATTTCATTGCATATTATATTAAATTATTAAAGGATTTGGCAAAAAAAATACGTTTTATTGGACAGTTTTAAACAATTGTTATCTATTATTTTTAATCAGTTCCATGTAATTTCCCTCTTAGATTGTTTTACACATCCGTAGCACGCATTCTGAATCTTTTTAGCTTTCTGTTATGGCGTTTTTCAGAATAAAGGGAGAGTACTGAACTATACGGGATTATGCTTCCCTCTAGTGGTACCAAGAAATACGTAGGTGGAGGACAGAAAGGAGTCAAAGAAGAAATACAAAGTCAGAAAATTTGAGCAAGCATAATAAGAACTCATAACATATGCCTGACTCTTGGTTACATATTTATCACATATTTTGATGAGTTGTGCCTTTTGTATAACTTTTTATTTTGAACTATTTGAAACAGATTATTATCTGAGGCAATTTCTCAGCGATTTCTATATCCAGCAAAAATACTAATAACCTCAACCTTGGATCTTAAGATTTGCCACAACACTGGAGTAGGAGGTGGCCTGTGTCCAAGGTGCCACAATGGTTTGTAGGCACATCTACAGCGAGATGGCCCACGTTGCTGAAAGACATTTTTACCCTTCTTCATCTATATTCTGGGAAAAAACAGCCTTGATTGAGATGCAGTTTATTTTTCTTTTTGTGACATTATGGATAGAACTTTACACATTATTTACTTTACACATCATTTATTTTTATGGCTTGCTAGTTAGCCCAGAGTCCATCTATCTGCAGATTATTCTGCTGACTTTGGTCAGAAAGGGAAACTTCACATATGTGTGGTTATTTATTACTTTTAAATATATATGCTATATTGTGTCCTTGATAAAGGTGGTGATGTTCTATGAAACCTTCTAAAATTATTGTCACAAAGCAGATATACAGTGGTTAAAAACTATTTTCGAGATATCTTTAACTGAAATCTGATTACATCCAAATTCCTAAGTATCTCCTTCAAACCATCCATTGTTATTTGCTAAGTGTATGGATCCCTATTAAGGCAGTGAAGAGTGGTCTTGGCCCTCGGTGGCGAGGTTCTATCAGTAGCGAATGCATTTCATGGTATTGTCTCCGTGTAAATACAAGCACACAGGAGGCCAAATAAATATGGTTGATTGAATGAACCTTCTTCTTGACACACAGTTGGACACATGACTCACCTCATTACATAAACCTCAAAGAACTACACTCACCAGTATCTCCTTGGTTTTGTAATTTATGCTAAGTGATCCACAAAATAATTCTACTAGATTGGACAACTCTGCTTTTTTCCCCTTTACTTCTTTTAAATAGGAACCCCAGCTAGGAACATGATATTTTAAAGCCAGAATTGCCAAGTGCTTTCTTGCCTCAGTTAAGAGTGAAATAGTGTCAACTATTTTATATCACACCTCTGTTCCTTTAGAAAAAACAAAAAAGATAATATTGTTTTCTTGTTTTTAGGTATCTGGATGGGAACCAATTTACACTGGTTCCTAAGGAGCTCTTTAACTACAAACATTTAACACTTATGTAAGTAATGTGTTGCGTATTTTCATCTTTGACTCCTTACTCTGTTTCATGAAAGTGGGGGTAGCAACCGGCAGATCTAGTGAACCTTTCAGATGAGATAAATCATTTACAGTTAGATGCCTCCCTACTTGCTCATTGTGGTTCTGGATCACTAGCTACATCTTCATTGAATATCAATCAGGCAATGGTGCATTGTAGAGAAAGGGCCTCCTCTAATTCAAAGTACAAATATGATAAAGCCTAAGTAGCCAAGAACTACAGAAATGCAGCAAATTTGGATACTTCGACTGATGATGAATATGGGCTATTTTATGACAAGCCAAGAAGAGAAAGATAGAAAATAATGGCTTGATTCTTGACTTTAAGCAAAAGGTCATGGATAGTAATAACGTTGAAAGTGCATTTTATTAGGTTTCATTCTCTTTTATAATACATTGTAAGTTAAGTTGTGGGCTTCCGGAATTCAAATTTAATTTTATAAAATTCATTTTACTTGGGCAGTATTTAAGTAGACTTGACAAAGATGCTGATATTCTGGGCATAAATTTCAGACATTGACTTTTTTCTTTTTTCAGTTTGGTTTAATGTCCTTGTAAAATAACATCTCTCTCTTTCATTAATGTAAATGGATTTTTAAGTGGTAATACAAGACCATATTTAAATATACCAACATTTTGATCTAGTTATATGCACAATATTTTTAAAAAGATGCAATCTTACTATATATAATGTCACACTTAGAATAGCCTTGCTGGTGATTGATAAAACTTATCAAAAAAAAAAAATCAGCAATGGGAGTAAATGGAAATGGAAATACTTTATCTTTAGTTTAAGTCCTATATGATTTTCGAGTGAATACAGCTGGCTGAGGAGGCTGATTTCTAGTGTTCCTAGAATAAGAAGGTTTATTCTAATTAGTGAATTCTAGAAACATAAATCACAGAAAATGTTACATTTCTCAACATAAACTTGACTTAAGCAAGGTTGTGGTTGGTTAAAGTACTATTAATCGTTTTCAATTTCCCTTAAACATGTAAGAAAATCACTTTGTAAAAAGTATGTAGGACTGTTTCAATGACCAATGATTAAATTAAGGGAGAATATCCCCTAAGATGTCTTGTTCTGGCCCTAGTCACTTATTTAGTAACAGCAAGAACTTGGTTGCATACATTTTGCTCTGTTAAATAAACCTTTAAATTACTGCAATTTCCAGACGGTCACTTCAGGTGAATTGGGTCATTTATGGAACAGTATGCAATTATTTAAGACCAGGTCGGAAATGAAAGATGAGAATTTGTAGATCCAGAAATGACTTTACCAATGACTCATGAGTAACTCAAATTACTCAGGTAACTTCTGCCAATATAGATATACTTAACTTATTTTCTAAATTTATGTAGTTTTCAGCAGCTAAGAAGATTAATTATTAATTTCCTATAGTATTCCTATCATTTCACAATTTTATAGGTTCATTTTACTGATATTTTATCTTCAGCTTTTCTGCATCTTACATTTATTTGTATGTTTTGCTTTAGAAAAAAAAAGCAGTGAATACACACACACATGCAAATCATAAATTGGGGTGCCTGGGTGGCTCAGTTGGGTAATCATCTGACTCTTGATTTCGGCTCAGGTCATGATCTCACGGTTCATGAGATCAAGCCCTGCTTTGGGCTCTGAGCTGACAGCATGGAGCCTGCTTGGGCTCCCTCTCTTTCTCCCCCTCTCTCTCTGCCCCTCCCCACCCTTGTGCATACTCTCTCTCTCTCTTTCTCTCTCTCAAAATAAAAAAAATAAACTTTTAAAAAAATTATCATAAATTATGACCTATAATTTTTCACTTATTCGTGAATCTTTTATTTATGTATTTAGCATTTTGTGTTAAAAAAACAGAATATATACATATCACTGTATGAGTGTATGTATGGCTATATTCACTAATTTTTTCCTAATGCAAAATTGCCAAAGATATTTAATGTATATCAATAAAATATGTCATTATTTATTATGCGTTATTATATTACATTATATGTTATAATGTAATTATAGTACAATAAGTATTATATGTATCATATATGGTCACATTTATTATTACATGTAATAAAAATAAGATCGTGTTAACTGAATATAAATCACAGCCCATAGTACCAGTACACTTGTATAAACAGCCATGTAGCACTGGGTAAAAAATCCACATCTCTCCCATTAACTTATTCATTAAACAGATATTTGTTAAAGACCTACGGTACGCCAGTGATTTTTTTTTTCCAAGGGTAAAGTTTTTAATTATGGCATTCCAGATGTAATTAAATGAGTTCTTTTTGTTATCAAATTTGACTGTGTGTATCAAGGAGCATATATAACAGGGAAGATAAAGGATGTGCAACCAATGGAACCTTCATGAGCAAAGGTTTATTTGTCATGCATAAGATGTGTCTGTTGTGAGTGGCCTCCACCTGTCACATGCCTTTGCTCTGGGACCAAGGCACAGGCACTGGCTGTGAAACATCACAGGTCTTGCAAAGCAGTGAGCAGAGGGATATGGGGAAAGTGAGCTCACTCCAAAGCTTCTGTGTTTTTTTTGTTTTTAGGTTTATTTATTTATTTTGAGAGAGTGTGTGAGCAGGGGAGGGGCAGAGAGAAAGGGAGAGAGAGAATCCCCAGCTTGCTCTACACTGTTAGTACAGAGCCCTTCCTGGGGCTTGACCTCACAAACCCTGAGGTCATGACCCGAGCCGAGATCGAGAGTCAGACTCTTAACCAACTGAGCCACCCAGGAGCCTCTAAAATTTCTGTTTTGAACTGAAACCTGGCACCAGTGCCCGCACTTACTGCAGTGGCCAAAGCAAAACATATCATCGCTTCTAATTTCAACAGGCAGGGGCGTGAATAATTATGAATATTACGATGTACCTCAGAGGGTTATCCAGTGTTTCGTTATTTTCAGGTAAAAGCTGAGTGCTAACCGTGCAGCTGTGACTGAACAAGAAGAACCTTCTCTTTCTAAGAATCACTAATATTTCACTTCCTCTGGTAACAGTAGACTCCTTTTTTTTTTTCTTTTTCTTTTATAGAGACTTAAGTAACAACCGAATAAGCACCCTTTCTAATCAGAGCTTCAGCAACATGACCCAGCTCCTCACCTTGTGAGTGCGAAAATGTGATATGGACTGTTTATCAATTCACTGGACTAAAGGCATTTTCTAGGCACTTGGATGTTCCCTGTTAACAAGATAGATAGTTTGCCCTCAGGGAATATAAATATTGTTGGGAGAAACAAACAAAACCTCAGTAAACAAATACAGATATTGTTAAAGTGCTGGGTTCTATAAAAGGAGCAAAGAATAATTTACACTTGTGGTGGGGTTGGAAGAGATCCTTAAGACAGACTTCTGAGGAAAGCCACCTGAGAGAGGGAATAGGCTGGGGAAGGAAGCATTCTAGACTGTATTTAAAAATAAATATGTTGTATTAGTGAAAACACAAACATTAAAGTATTATGCATCGATATTCTCAATTTATAAAATGCTAAAACAACCCTTTTCTTAACTGCTGCATTTTTAAAATGACATTTGGCCATTTGGGGATATCTGAGTAAAACAAATCGACTATGTATGCTTTCAGAATTCTTAGTTACAACCGTTTGAGATGTATTCCTCCTCGAACCTTCGATGGATTGAAGTCTCTTCGATTACTGTAAGCATCTTATGCGCAGTGAAATATCTCTTATCTCAGGGATCTGAGTTTTGACTTGTGTTTTTAATGATTTGGGGATACTTTTGATGTACACATTAGGATTTACTGCAAATTTGAAAATAGGAAGATTACTTCTTTCCCCATATCATACTCAACAGCTTTTATTTGAAGAACACCACATTGTTGGTGTGGTCATTTATTTGGCAATAGATAATATGTATGTTTCATATAGATCCAACTAATTTTGAAAGAAATGTACGAAATGTTCATTTCTTTAAAGATTGCATTATCTATGAGTACATTTTTACTCTAAAAATGTATTTTAAATATATGAAATGAAATATGATTCTCAGTCACAATCCCCTCACCCAGAATTAACAATTAAACAGTTTTGTCTTGTCTTCCGGTCCTCTTTTATATGCATTTGTTTTTATATGCTGGTATATGTATGCCCACAGCTATATAACTTTAAAAAAACATAAATAGGATTTGTTCTTATTCTGTCATTGGCTCATCTTATTTAACAATATGCTTTAGACCATTTCTGTTCCATCATCTAGAAATATCCCTCAACTATTTAACTGGCACAGAGTATTCCATAGGACGAAGGAACCATAACTTATTTAATCGTCCTCATCTTTTGCTATCACGTGGCTTGATTCCAGACTTGTGTTATCCCTTACAGGGCTGGAGCAAGCATCCTACACATTCACCTTACTGTTAACTGTACTGGGAGAATACCAAAAGTAACTGTCAAGTTGCCCCCCTAAAAGAAGGATTTGTCAGTTTACAAATTTATTTTCCACCAACTCTCCTTTAATAGAGCACCTATTACAAAGCACTCTGGCAAATACTGAATAGTATTAATCCTTTCATTCTTGTTCTATGACAGATTGTGTACCTGTTTTAATAGAGTACCTGTTTCAAAGCACTCTGGCAAATATTGAATAATGTGAATAATTCTAGGATAGGTTGAATGTTATTTTCCATTCCTGTTTTAATTTGAAATTCCAATAACTAGAGCATTTGTGCATATTTTACTCTTTTATTGAGCATTTGTGTTTCTTATTCCATGAGTCTGATCATATCATTTCCTATTTTCTATTGAGTGCTTTGTCTTTTCCTTATTAACATACATGTCTTTATGCATCTACTACTTGACTCTAAGTTTGCAGGTCTTTTTACTAAGGAATTAATCCTTGTGTCTTATATATTTTGCAGATATTTTCCATTCTGTTCCCTATAGGTTGTCTTTCATATTAATTATGGATGTATTTTGCATTGTCAAAAATGTATCAGTCTCCTTTATGGTTTCTGAGTTTTATATAGTGCTTTGAGAGCCTTTGCCATCTTATGTTCAGAAAAAGGAGATCTCTATTTATTAAATACATTTTTAGTTTTATTTTTATATTTAACTCATCTATCTAGAATTGATTTTATGTATGTTATGTGACATAAGAACTTTTCGTTTTCTCAAATAGATACCTAATTATACCAAGACCATGTCTTGAATAGATCATATTTACTGTGCTGATTTGAAGTGCTTAGTAGAAACTAAAATCTCACACGTGTTAGAATTTTTCTGAACTCGCTGACGTGTAAGAAATTTAATATTGCTTTTTCTTGCTTTTAGTTCATTACATGGAAATGACATTTCTGTTGTGCCCGAAGGTGCTTTTAATGATCTTTCTGCATTATCACACCTGTGAGTACCTAGTTCATGAATGTGGGTTTAGGGTCAAACTCTCCCTGGTGAGTGAGTTTGGAACATACAGCCCTCTGCCACCCCTTTCCTGTCACATCATGAGATGTGATTGGTTCCAGCTTTAAAGAAAATGTGAAGATTTCAGTCTAGATGCAGTGCCTTCTGCAAGATAGCCTTAATTTATTCTTCTGGCCCTTACTCTCCATTAACTAATGGAGTGGGATTCTCTTTACTTAGCTAATAATGTCTTCTTACAAACATGGCTCTCCAATTTCCTAGCTATGGATTTTCTCTTAACGTTCTCTGATCCTAGAATACCAGTTCCTCTCCAATTCAGTCTGTTCAAACCTTGTATCATCCAGGTGACTTTCTAAATATTATGTCCTTTATGAAGCCTATCTTGATATGCTCAAACCAGACTCATTTATGTAGCAAATACTACTGAGTACTGGATATGGCACCTTGCAAAAAAATAAATTAGAAATGGTTCAAGACTTCATAGTATGATAGGAGGAAATTGCCAAATTCTCATACTGGGTGAAATGTGGGGTTTGTTTTGTTTTGTTTTCTTCCTTTTCTTTGTGCTCTTGTCTCATAGGACCCTGTACCTCCCTATTTTTTGCAAGTAGAATAAAACAATATAAAATATGTGATAAATGGGGTCCAAAAAAAACTCGTCTGGGCCAATTTCCATTATTGTATTATTTATAGTTGTAGTGTTAAGGTCATGGCAAACCTGGAGCGAAGTTCCAGGAACACATTTGGATCTAAAACTTCTTTGTGTCAGGGTGGGTTTGGCGCCACCTGGTGGTTTTTATGTTTAGGCCCAAATAGTAGTATCCCAGCCTCCCAGTTCCCCAGAAATTGCCTGTCATGTTATCTCGTGGCTTTGCCTTCCTCTCCAAACCCCACTAAACCCCAAGAAGATACGTGTGAACAATTGAGAAAGGGGGATGGGCAGAGGAGAGGAGCCAATAGTCAATCTTGCTATATCTGAATGTGCTTTACTGGGCCCCGTTAATCAATGTAGGTTTTTTTGTCTGTCTGTCAGACTGTTGGGTGCCTATAGTTAGTATCCCTTCCACTAAACCATTGGGTCCCAGGAAGAAAAACCTCCACTTTTTCATGTCTGAACTCCAGCATATACCTCAGAGTCCACACCAGGGCTACTCATCTACAAATTCCATGGATGTCATCTGCATGAGATAGAGTGTGGTGAAGGCTTCTAGCTCAGGGGTGCAGAGCTTGGTACTGTCTGGGAGAGTACGCAACATTAAGAAGAAAGTAGCCAGGGGCACCTGGGTGCTCAGTCGATTAAAGGTTCTGTTCTTGGTTTCAGCTCAGGTCACCATCTCACAGTTCGTGAGTTTGAGCCTCGCACCGGGCTGTGTGTTGATAGCGTGGAGCCTGCTTGGGATTCTCTCTCTCTCCCTCTCTCTCTCTGCCCCTCCCCTGCTCACACACGCGCGCACTCTCTCTCTCTCTCTCTCTAACTAAATACATAACCTTAAAAACAATTAAAAATAGAAGAAGAAGAAAGTAGCCATTCTGCTAGTGTTAGAGTGACTTATCAGAAAAGGCAGCTCAGGGAAGGCACCAACTTCTCGCATGAGCACCGCCACTAACGATAGAGGCGGTTTGAATATCTCTTGCCATGTGCCTTGCTCTGTCATGTATTTCTTTCGTGCATTTGTCTTTGACTCTCTAGATCATAAAGAGCTCTGCTCCATTCACTTTCTCCACTGCATCCCCTTGCAGAGTAAGGACTTAGCAAATGTCAGTAGAGGTGGCACCAGGTGACTCAAAACATAATTTTGCTCATTTTTAATTTAGAAGAAAAGTTTTAATCTGAGCATAACAGTTACTGTACTCCAATTCTTGGTTAAAGTTGGGCATTAAAACTGCGACAGTATAAAGTATTATGGTTTTACAAGTATATTTGGGGCCTTTCTTCATGAAAGAGTAAGTTTAATTGTACTTAGACTATAGCCTAGAAGCATTACTAATCACAAGTTGATTATAAATCAAAATTAATCCATTTTAAATGCCACTTTATGCATGGACTACTTCTGCCAAGCTTGGCAAATTTACAAAACCCATGGAGTAACTTCTCTGGCCTCAGTTTCACAATCTGTAAAATGAATTAGTAATACCGTTGACCTCATGAAGTTGCCATTTAGGACAAAATGAGGTAGTTTGTAGAAGTGGCTCAGCACAGTACCTGCATATTGTAAAATCAATGTTAGCTATCATCTTGATTACTTTTGCTGTCACTACTACTGCAAATGTGAGTGGGAACCAAAGATCTAAAATAAAGGACTTTACAAAGGGACTGACACCTAGGGAAGGTCCAGATCCACTCTGGTGAACCGGCTCTGTGCATCTTTATTATTTCATGCCCTTTCTTATCTCTGTGACTGTGCACTTAGTAGCCTTTTACCCCGAGACATCCTTCCCAATCTTTTCCGCCTCCTTGAATCTAACTGTGTAAAAGTTCATACTTTTAACCACCAGCCTCCCAGGAAAGTTATTTACAAGGTGACCCTGGTCACAGTCACCTTGTAAATACTTCTACTGTTGCACTTCTAATGCCAATGATTTGCATGTTTGAGTATATGTTAATCACCTCTGCAGAAGGAGTTCTTTGGGGTTAGGAATAATGTATTATTTATGTTTGGGTCCCCAAAACCTGGCATAGTGATTGGGTTCCCAGTAAATAATTGATGAATGAACTAAGTATAATCTGCATGTCGGGTGATGTTGCATCCAATATAAACCTGTCTCTGCAAATACAAGAAGACCTTGTAAAGACCAGGTAAATTTTAAGACTGGTGACAAGTCTCTAAATCCCAGCTGCACATAATTCAGGAAAATGGCGAATCCCTGATGTTTCCATTTTCTTCCAAATTGTTATCAGTAAATCTATAGGGATTTTCTACTGAGCATCACTTTGAGTTATGTTCCTTTAGGAAATAACAATACTTCCATACTGTGTGTGTGTATGTGTGTGTGCTTTTGTGGTGTTGTTTTCCAGAGCAATTGGAGCCAACCCTCTTTACTGTGATTGTAACATGCAGTGGTTATCAGACTGGGTAAAGTCGGAATACAAAGAACCTGGAATTGCGCGCTGTGCTGGTCCTGGAGAAATGGCAGATAAATTATTACTCACAACTCCTTCCAAAAAATTTACATGTCAAGGTATGATCTTTCACCATTTGTACTTCTGTAAATAAAAATCCACTGCATTAATTTAAGAGGAAAAACGTTGCTGCTAGACTTCAAAGGTAGAGCTGAACGGCCCCTAGTAAATAATTCCTAATTCTACCCAGTGCTCATACAGGACTGAGCCGTTACCTGAGGAGCCCAAGTAAAGAACTAGGCTTTGCAAATAAATTGCAGAAATAATTAAGTGGATATATCTAAGTTTTCTTTAAAATGTATGGAGAAATGAAGAGTTCACGGTTTCTGGAAATTTCTCTGATAGCCTCTAACAAGTCAACTGTTTTGCTTTTGCCTTGTCTGAATATGTGCCCTGTTCTTAGGGCTCCCAGGGCCCTGCGGCTTCCTGAGGCCAGGTAAGGAGAAATAAGCCCTCCCGAGTCTTCAGGCCAAACCTTCTGACTTGCCTCCTATGTCCATGTGGGTGTCCCTTGCTTGTTTATATTCCTTTCTTTTCCCTTTGTTTTATGTATTTATGGATTTTAAATAGTGCCTTAGTAACAAATACTTTTTTTTCTTTTATTACAAAAGTAATACATGCCCAAAAGAGAAAATCCACAGAATGGGAAAATGTTAATGATAAATATTATATTTCTACAAGAACTAAAATTAAGCATTCATAATAATACCCAGAGATAACTACTATTGAACTGTTTTATAGTAAGTCTGTTTTATGCGCAAAACTAAATCCTAGGTTTCGTGGAGCATAGAGAAGAGAGTGGTATGGTCTTGCCTTCCGAGGCTCGCAAACCTAGCTGAAGAGATAAACTTTCAACACTTGAGCATTTTAGGTAGGAAGGCATCAAAGTAGGTCATGTACAGCAGTGGGTCACGGTATGAATTTCCAGCTTCACTTTTCAATACTTAAATAACTTGAATTTAATAGATGAACCTAACCAGCCGGTGCCTCAGTTTCCTTGTGTGTAAGCAGAGATGAAGATAGTACAAACCTCAAAATGTTTTGTGAAAATTAGATAAGTTACTATATGTGACATCAAAAAAAAAAAAAAAAGTGAAGAAAATGCCGATGTCGCAGAAACAGTGAATAGAATGGTACATTCCAGGGGTTGGAGGGAAGGGGGAAATGGGGAGATGTAGGTTAAAGGCACAAACTGTGAGTGATACGAATAGTAAGTTATGAGGACCTAGTGTCGAGCCTGGTGAGCATAGTTAATAATATGGTATCTTCTGATTGGAAAATTGCTGAGAATCAATCTTAAGCTTTCTTACTACACACACACAAAGGTTAACTCTATGAGAAGGTGGGTGTTCTTAGTACCTTGACCCTATTAATCATTCCACGGTGTATGTGTATATCAAACCACCACATCATCACACCTTTTAAGTATATACAATTATGTTTGTTAATTGTTCCTCAGTACAGCTGGAGAAAAAGATTAGTTGAATTAATATGTGTAAAACACACTGCCTTACACACAGTAAGCACTCTACAGGTTAGCTGACACTTTTAGCATCATAGCATTTCAGAACACCAACAAAACTGTGATGTAGGGCAAACAATGTTTTGTTGATAAAAGAAGGAATTTCCAAAAACTGTATTCCCTTGAAGCATTTTTTTAAATGTTTGTTTATTTTTGAGAGAGAGAGAGAGAGAGAGAAAGAGAGAGAATGCAAGAGTCAGGGATGGGCAGAGAGAGAGGGGGACAGAAGATCCAAAGTGGGCTCTGTGCTGACAACAGCAAGCCCGATGCGGGGCTCGAACTCACAAACCGTGAGATCATGACCTGAGCTGAAGTCAGACACTCAACCAACTGAGCCACCCAGATGCCCCGCATTGTTCTTTTTCCTTGAAATTCTGTTTGTCTCCTTGACTTTCTATTTCCAGCAACTCAGTGAATTGTCTCATTTTTTGCTACAAATGTATATAATTTGAATTTTTAAAATTTCCTGCCACCAGAAATGTTTGGAGTTTTTAAATTTTTCCTAAAATTGAATTGCTGTTAATACTCATATGAGCACCATTTCTTGGGATAGCATAATTATTTATCACCATGTTAATATTTTTATTAAATCTGAAAGTAAAATTTTATTGGAAATACCTCTCTGAAATTATGTGCATTGGTTGCCAGAAGCTTTGCAGATAACCAGTGTTTTAAATTATTCTTTTTGTAACTGCAGATGCTTTTGGGGGGCATTGCCCCAAATTTCTGGTGTGCTGAGAGGTATATCATTGTTTTTTAAAGTGGAGGCGGTTGTCAAACGGGAGATAGGGAAGGAGAAACTGGCATTAAAAACTTCCTGTTAGGCTGGGGCACCTGGGTGGCTCCATCAGTTGAGCCTCCCGACTCTCGATTTCGGCTCAGGTCATGATCCCAGGGTCATGGGATTGAGCCCCACATCAGGCTCTGTGCTAAGCATGGAGCCTGCTTAAGATTCTCTCTCCCTCTGCCCCTCTTCCACTCACACACATACACTCTCTCTCTCTCTCTCTCTCTCTCTCTCTCTAAAATAAAAAAATAATAATTAATTAAAAAAAAACAGGCATCATTTGGCAGATGGGTTTTAGAAAGATTACATGGGGAAGTTGAGAAACTGTAAACTGATTTTGTTATTCTACTCCATACAACAGATACTTCTTCCTTCTGAACAATGCTGGTGCTTATATATATTTTTCAAAGTTTAGAGTTCCCTGGAGATAGTTCCTTTAAAAATATTTCATGATGATATAAATTTGAGACAAGCTACATACTTATATTCAGTTCTTTGAGTGTCATAGTTCACATTCATTTATTTAAGTGTTCTCAGAAGTCTGACACACGCATGAGCGAGGCAGAGGGGGCAAAGGGAGAGAGAGAGGAGAGTCTTAAGCAGGCTCCAACCACAGCATGAAGCCCGATGCAGGGCTCGATCCCACAACCCTGGGATCATGACCTGAGCCAAAATCAAGAGTTGAATGCTCAACTAACTGAGCCACCCAGGTACCCCAAATTTTATTTAATTTAAATTTAACCTGAAAGAGTCACGTGCAGCTACTGGCTACCATGTTGGATAGCATGGTTGCTACAAAAGCTCAGAGGAAGACATTGCATCAGAAGAGAGTGGCTGTGAAAAGTTGAGTGCAGGTTTATGGAAGCCAGTTGTTTGGACCAGCTGGCGAGTGTGAGGAAGGTGCTACAGGAGCAGAGCTGTGTTATAGAAAATGCTGGAACTGTGGTTTAGTTTAGTATTCACTAAGTTCTCAAGTCAACTGCATGTATTTGAAGGCATGCCCAAAGCTGGGTAACAGACAACATGGTTGTAGGGCAGGGGACAAGAGTGTAGACATTCAGAACTCCACAAATATAATGTAATTGCATTTAGCAGACTTGAAGATTAACTTGGTTTTTCTATAACTTAATACACTTTTGGAGTGATAGCAAACTTTGCAACTCAGAATGCCCTTTGCCAGCATTTCTTGGCATTTGTCAAAATATTGTGGTTTCGTTGTCTGCAAGTTGAAGATTTATGGCAGCGCAGAATGCATCTCTGCACGACGACTACCAATAATAAATAACAACAGCTCATATTGAGTGGTTTGCACCATGCTGAGGATTTTACATAGATTTGTATCTCTTATAACCTTTATATCCTTACTAAACTAAGTACTGTTCTTTCCCCATTTAAGAGATGAAGATATTATAATTTAGAGAGATTAAACAATTTGTTCAAAATCACTCAGCTGCTAAAAGAAGGAACCAGAATTTTTGCTATAAATTATTTTTTTAATGTTTATTTATTTTTGAGAGAGAGGGAGCATAAAGGGGGAGAGGGGAAGAGAGAGGGAGGGAGACACAGAATCCGAAGCAGGTTCCAGGCTCTGAACTGTCAGCACAGAGCCTGACGTGGGGCTCCACCCCACAAACCGTGAGATCGTGACCTGAGCCGAAGTTGGACACTTAACTGATGCCCCGAGGAGCCATAATTTTTGATCACTGACTCTAGTGCCTGCCACCGAAGTTTACTTTATAATTCTCAATAAAAATATTCTCAAAACAAATGATCCATATAAATAAATTGCCATTCTGCTGTTGAAACATACTTAGAAAATGAGAGTTTCGAACCACTTTCATGAGCTCTGCTAGAAATATTTATTCATAATAAGTGGATTGGTAAAAGACGAAGTATTCTAATCTATTCATTAAAATGATCCACTCTAAGAAATCTACGGAGTACTGAGTTTTTGAGCTAACATGCCTTGTGAGCTCGAAAGCAATGAAATGACACCTCTTTAAATATTTTGTAATTTGAGTTTTTAATATTTTAACTTTTCCCATAGTTCTATCAGTTTAATATGTTTTATTTCATTCATGAAAATCATGAAAATACATGCTCCTAATATTAAGATTTGTAAATAAGTAACTTCTTTTTTTATTATTGCTTTTATTTTCTTAGAGAGAGAGACAGAGTGTGAGTAGGGGAGGGGCAGAGACAGAAGGAGACAGAGTCCGAAGCAGGCTCCAGGCTCTGAGCCATCAGCATAGAGCCCAATGCGGGGCTCGAACTCACAAACTGTGAGATCATGACCTCACATGAGGCCCATGACTGAGCCGAAGTCAGTTGCTTAACTGACTGAGCCACCCAGTCCCCCCTAGATTTGTAAATAGTAATTTAAAATTACAACAGGAAAATGAATATCCTTTAATTGAAGACATGTTTATATAGCTATATTTAAATATATTTTAAAATGTTTTCTCTGCTAGGATAGGCTAGGCTATTATTTTGAGTAATAAATTCAGTTAATACAAATTTTATACTACATTTTTTAGAATATTTTCTTTATGGTATTATCTCATAGTTTCAGGTACAAGGGAAATAAATAAACTGGATGAAATAGATTATCAGAGAATATTTAATTAATACCAGGTTAGAACATTCTTGAGTGGGAAGCAGATGGTCATGACTTTTCTTTAAAACCCAGATGTCTAGTCTTCATCTTTTAAATATCAGTGACGTTAGAATGATCCAAAAGTCTGCGATAAAGTGGAAATTCTCTCCCTGTGGAATTCAGGATATTGTGAATTTCTAATATTCTGTTTCTTGTTCTTGGTTCAGAAATACTTAGCTATACAGACAGCTAAATTGTTCACTTTTAATTTGACAGACATTTATCAGACACTTAAATGTGCCAAAGAGTGAACAGTCTAATGGAAATGAATGATATATTCCTTTTTTCATTCACCATATATTATATGAGTTCCTTTTATGCACCAGGCACAGTTCCAAGGTATTAAGAATATAGTCATGTCATAAACAGGACAGAGAAAAACCCTTGTCTTTATACAGTTTATATTCTACTGATAGATACATTTAAATCTATAATTTCAAAACAATATGGAGGTTTGGCAATAAAAGTATA